GTGGTTGCTTCTCTCCCCCCCCCCCCCCCGCCTCTCCCTCTCTCTCTCTTCCTCTTTCTCTTCCTCCCTCCCTCTCCCTCTCCCTTTCCCTCTCTCTCAACCATGAGGCATACTTTTCATTAATCCTTTACTACTATTTTGTTGGAATTTTAAAAGGAAAGGGAGACAAATGCACACGTTCCATTCACCATGTAAACTGAAGTCTCCCCACTCATAATTTGTAATTGACTTCAACCCTCACCTTGCGTCCTCCACTATACTACAGGACCTGCTATCTCAAAGGTCACCAATAATCTTCAAGTCACCAGTTCAAACTCATTTTTGTTCAGCTCTCAGCCTCTTTGACATTTATACAACCACTGTTGTTGGTGAGGACATGGATAGTTTCCAGTTTGGTGATATTACAAAGAGCACTGCTTTGAACACTGAAATACACACACGCACGCGCGCGCACACACATATGTATATACCCAATAGAGATTTAGGTATATACCCAATAGAGATTCTTAAATACGTTTACCAAAGATTATATATATATATATTTAAGAATCTCTATTGGGTATATATCTAAAAGTAAAATATCTAGGTCAAAGTGCCTACATATGTTCAGCTTCAGTAGATACTGCCAAAGCTTCCAAAGCAGTTATACTTCCAGTATTCACAGTATAAATTTTCCAATTTATACTTCCTCTAATAGGGTAAAAGAGTTCCAGTTGCTCCAAATCCACTCTGATACTTGGTATTTTTTTTTTCCCCGTCTCATTTAAAAACTCCTCCTCCTCCTCCAGCCCAACTCCTCCTCTTCCTTTTCCTTTTAGCCATTCTGGTGGGTGTGTAATGGCATCTCAACTGTTATTTTAATTTGTATAACCCTGATGACTAATGAAGGTAAAGCCCTCTTCATATGTTCATTGGCTATTTAGATTTCCTCACTTGTAAGGTGTCAAGTTTTTTCCCCCATTTTTCTATTGAGTTGTCTGTCTTTTTCTTCTTTATTTTTAAAAGTTCTTTATATGTTCTGGGTAAAAATCCCTTGTCAGAAATGTAGATTATAAACATCTTGTATAAATATAACATGAATATATATGAATATTCTCTGTGGGTTACTTTTTCAGTCTCTTAATGGTCTTTTGATAAACAAAGATTCTTCATTTTAATATAGTCCGATTTATTGTTTTTTCTTTTATGATTGGTTATTTTGTTTCCTGCTTAAAAATAAGAAATCTTTGCCCTCCTCAAGTCATAAAGGTGTTCTGGACCAAAAGTTCTATTGTTTTATCTTTCCCATTTAGATATGTGCTCCACCTAGGTTTGATTTTATGTATATAGATGAAATAGGGGTCAGGATATTATTTTGTCCATATTACTATCCAATTAACCAATTTATTGTAAAGGCCATCCTTTTCCCACTATACTGCAGTATTGTTTTTGTTATAAGTCAGATAAATGTATATGTGTGGGTTTGTTTCTGAACTCTCTATTATGTTCTCTTGGTCAGTTTGTCTATCCTTGCCTAAACCTGTCTTAATTACTATAGCTTTATAATGGGTCTTAGAATCTACAGTGAAAGTTTTCCAGCTTTATTCTTCCTCAAGATAGCCATACCAACTCTTGACCCTTTGCATTTCCATGTGAATTTTAGAAGTAGTTTGACAATTTTATTTTTTAAAAACCTACTGAGATTTTCATTGGTACTGCTTTAAATCTATAGATTAATTCGAGAATTGTCATCTAAAATACTGAGTTTTCCAATCCATAAACTGATATATCCCTGCACTTATTTAGAATTTCTTTAAGTTCTTTCAATCGTGGCTTGTAGTTTTTGGTATAGAACTCTTGCACATCTTTTGTTAGGTGAATTCCTAGATATCTGATATCTTATAATGCCATGCTAAATGGTTGATATTTTTAATCCCTTAATGAATCAATGAAGTTAAGTTTCAGACCTTAAAAACTTTGTTCTCATGCCTATCGAAACATAATTATTGTGAAAAATGAATAGTACATCCTCATTTCTAATACCTACCTATTTGAATAATTCTTTAGAATAGGCATAGGCTGATATTAGAGGTAAGGATCAACCCGTAGGGAGAGGCCTAACATTTAACATTACTGACCTAAAGAAGCTTTGGTTTATTGGAGGTAAACCAAATAGCCACCCTTAGATCAGGTTTAATTTATATGTGTTTTTGTTTATCCTGCGCCAAGTTATAAATATATTGAATCAGTTGCCAACATTTAAAAACTGGGTAAAATTTCAGCTTTCCACATTTTCTTTTTTAAAAAAATCAGACAATCTGGCAATAGCAGGCCAATAATCTTTCTTGGAAAAAACTGGTTGAAATTGAGTAGCAGCTGCCCCCTTAGATGGAGCACATGTTCTCCAGGTTGCCATCATCCCCACTCCCTCTTATCTTAGGGGGTCTTATTCAACCCCCTATGTTTCCTGCCCAACTCTCATAGACATGAGTTTGCGACCTCTGCTTAATCACTTTTTGGCATTTGGGAAGCTTCGTTTGTTTCATTTTATGTTTGTTTGTTTGTTTGTTCATTTAAGGGCATTGCCCTTTAAGTAGTGTTTTTAAGAATGGAATTGTCAAAAGAAAATTACTCTTTAAGTATTGGCTCAAATATTCCTCTCTAGGAAGTCTTTCCCAATTCTCCTACTGTTGCACCCTTACCCCAGCACCTATATGGTTATATTCTGATTACTAATGTTTGTATCTTTCTCCTCCTCAAGCCAGGAGCCCTTAAAAAGTAGAGACTCTGATTGTTCCCTGTGATATTTCTAGTACTTAGTCCGTAGATGCTCTTAGATGCTCAATAAATGTGAATCAAATCAATAAACAAATGAATCATAGATGATAGATGGCTGAAAATCAGACTGGGTTACTATGTCTTTATCTTAAGGCAGTGAACTTAAACACAGAACCTAGAGAATACACGTTTTTCCCTACTATTTCAAGATAATATATCGCTACTCCTGAACATAAAATGCAAATGACAGACTAGCTAAACCTGAACAGTTTCATCCAAACATGTTCACAAGTATACCAAGTGCATTGTTTTACCTAGTTTTTTGTTTACGTCGCTTTGAGATTTTCTTGTAGTCTTTTCAATTTCATCCACAAGCCTCTGGCTTTCTGCCACCAGGCGTTCGGACCGAGACCTTTGGGCCTCCGCTCTGTGGTACTGGTTCTTGTTAGCAATGTGCCACTCTGAGGGCAGGAACTTGGGCGGAGATTGCAGTAGTTTGGCCATTCGAAGTTTCCAAAATCCTGATCAAAGGCAGACACTTTTTAGATTAACTGAAAGCAATGTGTCCTTTTTTTAAATGTCCATTTTTATTATATGATGTACATACTAAAAAGTGCATAAATCATAATCTGTACACAGAATGAACATATCTGTGTAGCCAGCACCCAGATCAAGAAATAAGCATTACCAGCACCTCATGCTTCTTTCCAGCCACTATTCTCCACCCACATCCCCACAGGGTAACCACTATTCTGACTTTTAATGCTATAAATTAGTTTCTCCATTGTTTGAACTTAATATAAATGGAGTCAAACAGTATGTACTCTTTTGTATATGACTTATGACTTCTTTCGCTCAATATTATGTCGGTAAGAGTCAGCTGTATTGTTCATATAGTTGTAATTTGTTTATTCTCATTGCTGTGAGGCAGCAGGTAGAGACCGCAGCAACAGAAAGACTAAAATTTGCCCCCACCTCATCTGCACATAGCTGTGATTGACTGTGAAAACCGCCTTCATCAGACATTACTAAAATCTGCCCCACTCACGTCCCTACCCAAAAATCTGAGTGCCTGCCCTTAGGGCCGTCTGGATTTCTGAGGCCCTTCAGACATACAGGGATGGAACCTGGTCAGATCTTGACCAGGCCGAGCACCAGGCAACCCAGCCCTCTCAGACAACATGCAGTCCCCCCCATTTCTTCCTAGTTCAGTCTTTTCTATGGCCTCTCCCAAGTTTTCTGGGCTCAAAATTTAACCTAAGACTCCTGGATAAGTCTGAGTAGCCTCCAGAGAAATAGAAATTAGGGCTAGAGTAGGTCGAAGTTAGACCTAAATTAAGCCTGATCCCAAAAGGCAAAGGCTTTGAGTAGAGCGGAGGGCTTCAGTTAAGGGTTGATGGGGTGGGGCCGGGGTGCACGTACCTCAGCGCCACGAAGAACTACTACACCAGTTCTGGATGGGAGCCTCCTAACCCCAACTGGAGCTCCCGACTCTTATTGAAAAGGGAAGTAAACAGCGCAGTCTCCGTGGCAACCAGCGACGTGCCACTTGGGCTCAGGGGGCGGGGTCCTTCGCCAAGCAGCCTCGCGGGAAGGTTACGCGCAGGCGCGAATTCTGCGGTCCCCAGCGCGGGAAATACAGGGTTGTGGCCTGGGAGAGGTAGCGCCAGATTCTCCGTCACCTCAACCTATTACCAAGACGCGGGACCCTAAGCAAGAGACAGCGGCCAAAAGCCCGAGTTGGGAGTCAGGAGACCTGGGTCTATCCCTGGCCCGGCCATGGGCTGGATCTCCTCGGGCTGCGCTGCTCCCGCCGGTTCTTGGGTTCCCCAGGTATACAGTGGGATTGGGCTGGACTGTGCCTCTAGGCCCTCGCAGCCGCAGGTCGGCCCCAACCAAACCACAGACCGGCGCTACAGGAAAAAATGAGACAGATTTCTGGTGCTGTCACAGCCGGGACTGGGAAAGGAGGAGGAGATGGGAGGAGGCGCCGGGACTCAGGGCCCAACCCTGGCTCCTCGGCCGACAGCCGTCTGCCATCCGGGACGATGGCCAAACCCAGAGCAAGGAGTCAGAAGTAGTTTCTCCACCTGTAAATAAGCAGAAATACACAGTTGGGAAAAATGCAGATTGGAAACGCTGACCTGGGTCCTCCACGCAGAAAGTGGGTATTCAAATTCCCGCGTATATGGTAATCCGGTGTACTTTACTCCAGCCAATCGAAGGCAACCTCCCTCCGAGGTCAACCAGTCAGAGGAAGTTTTGCCTCATGAAGCCCTACCTCTCTCCAGTTGCTGGAACCATCCTGGAGAATCGCCAGGCCTCCTGAATGCTAAACACACTGCCTGTCCAATAGTGTGAGGAGGAGCTCGTGTTGCATATTCATATCCCCCGCCCCTCAGCCAAGAAGCTACTTAAGGAGCATGGTTTGGCTCGCTCCTACCCCTACCCCTTCGGAAGAGTACCCGGTTCTTCTTGTCAGGTGTTCAGATCGTTGTCCCACCTTGGGAAGGCGAGGGGGCGGGAATGGGCCTGCGCCCTCTCCTCAGCACTGTCCTAGCACAGACACCTAAAGAAGGTTGTCTAGCTCCCGTGGCGCGGGGCAGGAGGCCCTGGCTGGAAGGTGCCCGCTGCGGGAGGCGTCCTCTCCCACTCTGGTGAGAAGAGGTGGCCATCTCCTGGCGCGAGCCAACCTTGAATGACCTCTGCGGTTTCCTGAGGAGTGTTGCCTTGGAGGGCAGACCCTGGAGTTGCCCTCCAATTTGCAGAAGGGGAAACTTGAAACTGCTGGAAACATGATAGAATTATATTTATCTATATAAATTATAATCATAGGTCACTATCGTATTTTGTGTCAGTATACAAATTTAATCCTCTCTCCCCCACGGAGTGGCGGGGATAGAAAAACCTTGAGACCCTTTACGGAAGAACTAAGGCTGATAGTTGAGTTAAACCATCTCTCCAAAGCTGGTGTTCTGCCTTCTGAAAGCTCAAACTTAGATGGTGTTGCATACCTTGCTATACTTAAACAAACAAACAAACAAACAAGAAACCTCTCCTTCAGCTATTTATTCTGAAGTTTAAATGTAATTGAATTTGGAAATATTTTCAAAAGGAAAACCTTATTTTGCATACACATGCACACGCACGCGCACGCACACACACACGCCAGCAAAGGAATGCGTCCAATAGAAAAAGTGTGGAACAGCTTATTATCAATAATTACTCGGTATCTATCTGGCACCAATATATCGGTGAATGGAATGTGAAGCAGATATCCAGCACAGAGCTTAGAATTTGTTATATTATTAAGAACAACCAAAGCTTTATATTCAAAGTAGAAATAGTCAAGCAAGGTGCATTGTAGTTTTTTAAGTGATTTTGAGATTTTTGTTGGCTGGAATAAAGCTATATTTCCTAAACTTCCATCATTCTGGTACCAATTTCTTAATTTTTGACATATCCTTGCATCACCTGTAAAATTATTTTGGTGTTTTTCTTCAAATACACTTATTTTTACATATAAGCATAATTGTTTTAAAAGAAGAGTTTACATCACTACGATAAATGGAAAATTAGCATCACTTGCATGACGGAGAGTAACCATTAAAATAAAATGAAACAAAACAATATCATAAAATTTAATATTGCTTTAAAACAATGAGAAAAGTATCAATAAATCTAACCTATTGTTTAAAAAAAAAATCACATCTGAAAGCAAGTTCCTCAATAAGAAGAATGAACCTATACATATTTGGCTTCATTTGTTAGTTTAAGAGTATGGATTTGTTTTTCAGTTTTGGTGTTTATCAGACTAGGGATCTCAACTCAACAGTAAACATAGTTAGAAAAATTAAAAGATGCAGTTATTCTTCAAAATTGGTAACTTTTGTCCAGCAGGAAGCTAGAAAGTATAATCTCCCCGCAGGCCCAGAAGGGAGAGGAGAACAAAATATGGTGAACCCCAGGAGTCTCCAGCATAAAATCCTTTTACTAACTACCTGGCCTCACCTCCTGACACTTTCTCCCTAGAATTGAAGGGTTTTAATCAGGAAACCAAGTTGATTTTAAATAACTACTATGAGTTTCCTCCAGAGTTAGTATAGGTCTTTTTCTACAACTGGCCTCTTGCTATGTGGGAGACCTGACTGCGCAGCTCTTAGTGCAGGTGTGGGAAGGAGGCCTTCAGGCAAACACCTAGGTCATTGTCCACTGGGAGAGGAAAATACCAAAGAAAAATTAAGTCAGAGAGGATAGGTCCAGGAGATTTAAAATTTGTCAAGTAGAACTTCCAGAGGGGGAAAAAAATAGGAATAGCAAACAAAGATGGAGAAAGAATGTCCTTGAGCTGAAGACTCAAGTCTTTAGATCGAAACACCCACTTGAAATAATTATTTTATATATACGCATACCTAGTCTAGTAAAGTTTCAAAGAATAAGGAGGAAAGGAATGAGTGGGTATTATCCTTTCATCTATAATACAGGTTACTAGAATGTCTTCAAAATTCTAGAGAAAATTATTTCAAATCTGGAATTCTATAACCAATAAAAAAACCTCATGTATGAAAGCAAAATATATTTTTGGACATGCTAGTACTCTAATAAAAGTTGAGCATCTACTTTTGGGGGGGAAAATAGAGTAAAAGTGAAAAATCCAGAAAGAAGAGACATTGACTATAAGAAACAGTGGAACCAACTCAGCTGTATGATGAAAAGAAACCTCAGTATGATAGCTGTATAACTGGAACACAATCGGTTCAAATTATAACTGAAGGTCAGAAGAATTCTTGAAGAATATCTTTAAGAATTACAGAAACTATACGATTCATAACCCATAAGTATAACCACATATTCCTGGTGAGTTGAAATTGTATCTCTTCTGATAAAAAAAAAAAAAAGAAATTCTGAGAAAATTAAGAAGCTGTACAAGAAAGTTATACCTACCAAGAAATTTAAAATTCGATGTGATTTTTTTCAGAGTAATATGTGAAACATAAGAGGTGATGCAAAATGTCACCAACCCTTTTATAAAGGCATTGTTGATCACCCCAGCTGAACTTGCTCCAAATCATTCATTGATTCAGTCAGTAAAGACTTGTTGATCACTCTCTGAACTCATTCTCTGAATTTACTCATTCATTCATTTAAACGAATATTTATTGAATACCTCCTAAGTACTGGGACCTGTGCTTGTCACTGAGGATAGATGACAAGAAGACACAGTCTTTGCCTTTTTATGGAATGTATAATCTAGCTCTATTTTACTCTTGACTGAAATGACAACATCTATCCTGTAAATTTGTTATTTTTACATCATCTTTTCCTAGATAGAAGAGTTGAAGTCTTATATATCTTTGCATTAACCTAAAAGTAACCTATACAAAACCTTTCCACAATGAGAAATCCATAAATAATTTATTATTATTATATTATTAATAATTAATATCAAAGGTACAAATGTACATACTATTTGACATGGCAATTCAATTCCATATATAGCAATGTATCCTACAGATACATCTGTACCTGTGCAAAATAATGTTCATAAAAGGTTATTTGATGCAACATTATCATAGAAAAAACTTTTTAGACCTAACTGTCCCCTAAGACTGATTTAAAAAATTATGAAAGAGTCATAGAGTGGTATACTTTTCAGCTGTAAAACAAATAATTAGGACTCTAATATTTTGTTATGGAATAATCACCAAGATAAATGAAAAAAATAAGGTTCAGAAGAGCATATATAGTATTCTATCATTATTATGATAAAAAAAAGTAAAATGTAATTGTTTGTGTTCACATAGAATTTCTCTAGAAAGATACATAAAAAACTGGTTGCCTCTGCTAAAGAATCCACATGGCCAGGGTCTGGAGGGTGGTGGGGGGAGGATTTCACCGAATACTTTTCTACTATTTGAGAGGTATACAATATGTTATCTCTTTTTAAAGACATAAAAGCTCTTTATAATAAAGTATTTTAAGTAAACAAATGACACAAATAGGGCAGCCAGGAGAAGAGCAGCTGTGGAAAGAGTTGAGGCAGAGATAAACTGATTTTGAAACTAAAAGAATTCACTTAGCCAGAGGCCTGAAGCCTAGCTTCCAGCTTGAATCTTACCTCTTACAGCCTCAGTTTTTTTTTACCCATGTTAATACTGTCCTGCTCAGTTTACAACAGTGATAGGAGAGTATTTTATGGATGCAAAAAAAAAAAAAAATGCTACCAAAATATCAGATATTATTAATTTCTTGGTTAACTCATACAGAGCCACCACGACCCTTGAACTCTCTCTTAGCAGCATTGCCAGTGGTAAAGAGATCTGTATCAGCTTCCCCCCCCACCCCGCAACTACACCTGGATAAGGAAAAAAAAAAAAAACTTCATCTAAGAGCATTGGTAAAATGTGAATTGTTTTCTATCTTAAGTTTCACTGTAGAACAGAGAATTCATTGATAAGAAACCATCAGGACTTTGGGTGGTAAACACACAATAGAATATATAGATGTCAAATGATAATGTACACCTGAAAATTATATAATTGTATTAATCAATGTTACCCCAATAAACTTAATTTAAAAAAAAAAAAGAAAAGAAAGAAAGAAACCTTCAATGTTTA